TTATATACACACACAAAAAAAGCTGGAGAACCACTGTTTCATAGGAATCATCTCCTTTGTGGGATTTGTAATATGGAAAGGAAGTTCTGATTCTTTACTTAAGTCAAAACTCATATGGAATCTTAAAATCACAGAATTTCAGAGCTAGGTAGGATGTTGGAAATCAGTTCAATATCTCATTTTACAGGTACAGAAACCAAGGCAGAGAAAAAGTAAAGTCATTTGACAAATTAGTAGCAGAACCAGGACTAAAACCCAAGAGCATTTTTCATTATACAATGTAATTCAAAATACTAATCATATAAAATAGTAAATCTAAATGCAGCCACTACCAAGAATGAGAAGAGCCATTATTTAAGTTATCTGTTATATGAAATAATACCCTGAAATGAGAAAAGTAAGCTCTTGTACCTATTTCTTGAAAAACTTGTGGATTTCTGTGGGGCTGGAAAATTCCTTTCCCCACAGTGGAGAAGGAACAATTCTCCCCCTGAGCACTGTACTCCTATTCTTCATGCAATACAGAGGGAGTTATGTGTGGCCCTGGGAACTCTGCTGGGAGCAGAACAGTGGCCAGGGGTTCCCTGCCCTACCATTCCTCCATGCATGCCTCAGAAAAAAATGCTGACAGTGGTGTGGAAGCCACTGACTCACAAATATTTCCTGGTAAGTATGTGGGAGAGGTCCTACAGAAGACAGGAACAGGCCCTAGCACCTACAGGGAGAATTAGCTACGATATGTAATGTTAATATGGATTCTCAGCTCAACCTTAAAAATCAAACTTGATTTTTTTCATCCTTAACAAACTGATATTGATGGAAGATAAATTATACAAACCAAACATTTAATTCTCCTTCTGGCCGAAAAGAGTTTGACTGTATTTTTGTTTTCCTTTCCAAAAAAGGATGGTCTTTATTTGTAAAACTATTGACTTTAGATGGCACAATTATTTTTATCATTTGCTCTGTCAGGTTCGATATAAGCTAGATTTAAGTTTCCCTCTTTGCCCTGATATTTAAATGCTTTTAATGGAGAGAATTCTGGAATCTCAGGATCACAGCTTTGGAGAGACCTCAAAGGTTATCTAGTCCGGTCCTCTTAATTTTACAGAAAAGGAAACTGAGACCCAGGGACATTGAAGGACTTGCCCAAGGTCACACAGGTATTAATCCTCAGAAGTGGGATCTGAACTAACTACAGAGCCAATGCTCTCTCCACTGTATTGTGATTTTAGAAGTCATTTTAGAATTGAGAAACTCAGAGCTAGAAGGGTCTCTAGCACCCATCAAACTTAATTCCATCTGTTTACAACTGAGAAAACTAAGACCTCAGGAGAGGACATAGCTCACCTACATACAAGTTGGTTAAAAATGTATCATCTGGGTGGGGGGGCAGCTAGGTGGTTCAGTGGATAGAGCACTGGCCCTGAAGTCAGGAGGACCTGAGTTCAAATGTGACCTCAGACCAAACACTTGACACTTACTAGCTGTGTGACCCTGGGCAAGTCACTTAACCCCAATTGACTAACCCCCCAAAAATGTACCATCTGCTTATGTGTTCCATATTCCTGATGGTTTTGATCTTTATGTGAATTAGATGATTTCTAAGATCCCTTCTATTTCTAAATCCATGGCCATAGGATCAGTGATGCTCTAGGGAGAAAATCATCATGAACCCCAACCATATTTCTCACCTGCTAGCTGCAAGGCATTGTGCTTGACAGCAGAGATATGGGTTAGTGGTTGTAATAAGACACATTTATAGTGCTTCTACATAATCACATGCTTTATTGTTTTTTTTACATATTAGCATACTTTATAGTGTTTATAGTGCTTTATGGTTTCCCAAACACTCTCCTCACAGCAACCCTGTAAGGTAGGCCATGCAAGTACAATTATCCTCCATTTCACAGAGGGGCAAAGTGAAATTCAGAAAAGTTGGGGGACTTGCCTGTGACCACACACTTTTAATCAATATGGGAGCCAAGATATAATAAACTTTACAAGTTTCTTCTGACTCCAGTGTTCTTTGCTCTGATGTTCTTTCCCTTATACCACATTGCCTTTCTGTATTTCACAGCTCTTACCCTCAAGGAACTTCTCATCTAGTTGGGGAGACAAAACATAAACAAATAAAGACAACTAATAAGGTAGCAAGAAAGAAACCAAGTGTTTGATAAAAACGTATGGTACAGAGGAGGCAGGGCTCCCTGAGGGCTGGAGCGGTCCTGTATAGATTTGTGGAGAAAGAAGGATTTGAGCTAGGCCTTGCTTGATGCATAAGAATTAGGCAAACAGAAGAAGATAGGTCATTCAGACCAAAGGAAATGGGGATATTTTGGCTCTCATTTTAGACTGTTTCCTTTCTGAAACACAATCCCTACTTATTTTTCTAGAGGCTAGAATGACAACCCATTTTCCATAGGGAAGACATTCAAGGTGCCATCTCTTTTTATTCCACTACACAAGAATTACATCCATATGATCACAGGATTTAGTTCTGGAAAGAACTTTAGAGGCCATCTAAGTCACCCCCTTCATTTTACAGACGAGGACATTGAGGACCATGCTTCTTGGTCCCACAGCACAGACAAGAGAGGCAGACGGTAATGGCTCACCTTCTCCCAACCATGATAAAGATTGGGCCAGCCAAGTGCCCACTTTCTCGTTTTCTTTGGCCTGGTCTCAGCTTTGTTAGTTTTTATACAATGGTGGCATAAGAGAAGTTTAGAAGACAAAAATAACCTTGGAATTATCTTGTGAATTCATGGTAATTACCATGCAATTACATGCTCAGTAACCACAATGGAATTCTAGAGTATTTACAGTTCACTTATAACTACAGATCGCTCTGGCTTCCGTGCCTTCATTTTTAAAGTGAGTGTGTTATGGGACGGCCTGGTGGCCATTGTACTTTGCATTGACAGATAGGCAGAGCTGGTCTTGCTTTAATCCAAACTAACCCTAGACTACCTTTATCACCCCTTTGATGACCCTGAGTGAGTCCTGAAGAGTCACTCTATCCCTTTACAGGAGGTTGCTCATATCCTATGTATCCTTGGAATTCCATAACAGCAAACACTTACTGACTAGAATCCCCTAAATGATTTTATCTGAACAGCAAATAAACCACAGAGGGAAAGGCGAAAGGGTATCCAGTTTAGAAAGTTATACTGTCTCAGACACACAACACAAGACACTTACTAGCTGTGTGACCCTGGGCAAGTCATAATACTGAATAGTTTCCTTTATTCTTATAGTTTAAAAAAATCCGTTGTCTAGATGCCTTTCTGTCCTGGTAGAACCAGCCAGAACTTGCACTCACTCCACTGACACATCTTTTGAGAACCTAGGGTCATCTCCATGATGAAACATTGCCAGAAGAATTTAATAGAAGAATAGGATTGACAACTACTTGAAGGTGAATCACGATGGTTACACATAGAGATATGTCTAGGGTTATGAGAGGCTCAGAACAGAACACCCCTACCAGTAGATAGATAAATAGAAACAGAGAGAGAGAGAGACAGAGACAGAGACAGAGACAGATACTGGTGAGAGCAAGGCTGGCTAAAGCCCACAGAGGATTAGCTTTTATCAAAGAACTCAAAACAAAACAAAACAAAACATAACAAACAAAAAAATGAGCAAAAATCAGAAACAGCAACAAGAGGTAGAAATATTGTGGAAAAAATTCGTAGCACTGGACTGTGAATCGGGAACCCTGGGTTCTCACCTTGGCTCTGCCTCTTAAAAACTGTGAACTTGAGGAATTCATCTCCCTTCTCTGGGCTTCAGTTCCCTCATCTATCAGATGAGAAGTGTGGAATAGCTGCTGCTCATTGATTCTCCTTCCAGTTCCAAGTGTCCAAGATTCTAAGTTGTCAAAGGGGAAAAGATGTGAGAAAAGGAAAACAAATAACCTCTGTGAGGGTGATGGGCTAGTGTCACTGCAGAGCCAGCCCCAGAGCCACTCCTTTGGTCATAGTGGAAGGAGGATGGGGGTGTTTACTATAGTAGTTGAAAATAAACCTCAGATCTTCTTAGCATTTGCTGGCAGGACCCACCCCTCCTCTACCCTCCACCCATAGCTACCCTGGATCCATGAGTAACTCTGGGTGCCTATTCCTTCCAGCACCTCAGAGGCTTCTAAAGCACAGTCCCTACCTGGGATTGGGATCCAAACTTTCTATACCAGAGGAATGACAATGACAGTGGCTATACATTCTGGTCTCCAGATTAACAGTTGTCATAAACTTTGGCATCATGATAACTGACCCCTGTGACACATTTACATTTTACTAGTTACTTTACATCTGATAATAAAGGGAGCCTGACGTGGATAAAGCCAGGAAGACTTCGATCCAACTCCCACATTGGCTCTGTAACCCTGGGCAAATCACTTGACCTCTCATGCTCTAGGCAACCCCCCACAACTCTAAGTTGTAGAGAAGGTGCCAGCCTAAATTGATAGAAATACTTTCCTCACCCAGAAGCTCCCTGTATCAATGAAATCACAGGCCCAGCCCCTATCCTTATTTCAAGATAACTTAGTGAGGCAAGTAATACAACTATTATTATCCCAGTTCTATAAATGAAAAAAAAAACTGAGGTCCAATGAGATTAAAGGTCACACATCTGTCTTCTGACTGCAAATTCATTGTCTTTCCTACCACAACACAGCTTCCAAGAACAGACCACATCTGATTTCCAGAAGAAAATAAATTGTGTCTGTTAGGGGCACATTGAAAGAGGCTGACAGGCTGCCAGATTCCTAATGCTTAATTTTGTCAGTGATTGTATTTTAGATACTTTCAGGAAATACTAAAGACTGTTCAGGCCTTACAATAACTGAACTCTTTGGCAGGCTTCCCACTGGTATCAGCAAGAGATACACAAAGGATGATAGCAAAAGAAATGTCCTAAACTCTCCATGAAGGAGCACACAACAGTATTTTTTAAGGTCAGATTCTCACACCTAATTACATGGTCTTTTCCAGCTTGATACATCCATTCGCTATGCAGTGATGTCCAACAACCTGATGCACAGCAACCTCACCCTAGTCTTCTACAGTGTTTTCCTCCAGATGTGTAAGGCCCATGGCATAGGATACGATGTGGAGGTAGGACAAGTGAAAATTAGCCAGTACCAGTTGGGATGGAAAATGTCGCCTACTTAAGCCAATTCAACTCATTTTGTCATCTTGGGAAAATACCTCCACTGGTCCTTCATAGGTTTTCATGGTTTTCAGGAGTATCCTTCACACTACAATACCCTTATTTTGGGCTCCAGGTTTGTACAACCAGCAGGGTTGTAGTTAAGTGTTCTTACTTCTTATTTGCATGCACATCTAATGATGCCCATATACCTCAGCAAACCAAATATTTCAATATAATTGACTGAATACAGAAAGAATGAATCAACCCAGACAACTGCAGTTGGGATTAATTGTTCCAGCTACAGCACACAGCCCCTCTGGAATTAAAGTTTTATTCCCCAAATGATTGAACAGAAACACTTTTCCCTGTGCCCAGAAGGTTCCTAAACTTAACTCTGTTTTTTATCAACCTCAAGGTTATTCTACTTACTCTGGATTCCTCAAAGCAGATATGGTATAATTTGAGGGAAACTGTGAAGTTTTCTTGCCACCTCCCCCCCAAAAAAGTCATTTTCCCTATTATTCACTGATTATTGAAATCCCATAATTTCACATTTATTCCTTTGGTTTAAAAGATCTAGCCTCTGTTAAAATGCAGATGCCTTAGGAAATTTGCACACTTAGGCCTCATTAGTCATTTATACCTTAGGGTGATTTGAATTTATCAGACATTTTCTTGAAGTTATATTTTGAAGGAAAAGAAGAGAAAATGCGGAGGTGGTACCTAGAGAGTGGAAGTTAAGAGGTGCAGTGAGGAAGGCCTCAGGGTACCAAAGATAAACTTTAACTGCCTAACAGTGTACTTGCCCCTAAGGCAGATATATTAAAACTGGGTTCCCAGAAGAAAGTAGGGATAAAAGAAAAAAAATGGAGGTGGGAGAGAAGAAACAAAAGTAAATAACTAGCATTGATATAATGCTTTAAGGTTTACAAAGCAATTATATTAAATGAGTATGTTATCTCATTTAATCTTTATAACAACCTTGTGAAGTAAGTGCTATTATAGATAAAGAAACTGATGCTTGAGAGAGGTTAAGCGACTTCCCTGGGTTCACACACATAGTAAGTCTTCAAGCAAGGGATTTAAACTCAAATCTTCTTGACTCAAAATCTGCTCTTACCCATTGAGCCAATTAGTTCAGAAAGAACCAGAAAAGAAAGGGGGGGGGGGGGAGAAGGTCTAGTAGATGGGAAAATTATAAAAAGAAAAAGGAAAGGAAAAGAAAAGAAAGAAAAAATAGAAATTTCTGAAAGGAGGTAAGGGAAAAAACATTAAAAGAGAAAGAGATACTAAAATGGTGCAATAATAAAGATATGGTACAAGAAATTTCCTTGTGGGTTACATGACTACTCAGAAGCCCAAGAGACTTCTTTTTTTTCCTTCCTTAGAATCTTTTCCCATGTATTAGATAAGTTCTTTTTTATTTGGGGGTGGGGGGTGAGGCAATCAGGGTTAAGTGAGTTGTCCAGAGTCCCACAGCTAGTAAGTGTCAGGTGTCTGAGGCCAAATTTGAACTCAGATCCTCCTGACTCCAAAGCCAGATCTCTGTCCACTGGGCCACCTTGCTACCCCAAATTAGATAAGTTCTTGTAACTTCTTACAGTGTTATCCCTTAGGAAAACCTATGAATGAGGGTGGGGAGGGTTCACTTTAAATGAAATGCTTCTTCCAGGGGTCTTTTTAGAACAACCATCATGTTAAGCATTAGCTTTATTTTCTTACCCAAGTAACTAAACTTCTCTCAGTCTCACTTACTATCTACCTCACAGGGTTTTTTGTTTGTTTTTTGGCTTTGGTGTGTGTGTGTGTGTGTGTGTGTGTGTGTGTGTGAATCAAATGGCAATATGTATGTAAAACACTTTGTAAACTTTACAATGCTATTTCAGTGTGAGTTAATAGTGATACTAATATGGAACAAGAGCAACAAAAATATATTTTTTTTACATTGTAAAATGTAAATTTACATGTAGATTTAAATTGCAGATGAAAAAAAGTGTTGTTTTAAGGAAGCTAAATAACTTCCACAACATTGCAGAATCAGTCAGTCTGTGGTAGAATTGGATCTGAGTGTGTGTGTGTGTGTACATTTTTTAAAACCACAATTCCACTGTAACCTCAGCTGCGTATGCTCCTCTTCATCCCTGGCGCCATGCTGTTGCCTAGGAAACTCCTCCCTACTCAGTCACTGGTGGTGCTCAGCTTTTTACCTGCTCTAATTCAGCTTTATCAGTACCAGCTTGAAGCTAAAGAAAAGGCAAGATTACAGAGATCACAACAAAATGTATTTGTCTAATCATGTGGAGAACCTCCTCCATATAGGTATCAGAAAGGATTAGTAGAGGTTTTGGGAGATGAAATTACCTTTGCAGAAATACATGTGGCCTAATACCCACTGGACAGCAGAAGAAAGAATTTATAATGCTGTGTTCATTCAGATGGATGCAGAGGAAAAAATTAAATATGATGCGATTACTCAACAGGGACAATCCAAGGACAAGGTCATTTATAGTAAGTACACTGACTAGGTTCCCAAAGTAGTTATGAATGCAGATGACCCAGGACCTGCAAAGACCTGACAAAGAAACTATTAAAGAAATGACAGAAAAGACACAAGTAACCCTAGAGAAATCTGTGTCTCAAGCAGGTTGGTGCAACCATGCCAGTTAGAATTGTCAATAAACTTGCCCAATCTCTCTACGTCTAATATGCATCATCTCAGCAAGGAGTGGCTTTTAATCCTGTAGTGGAGCAATGAGTTATTTGGATGGTAGAAATGTAAAAAGATCCAAAGGAGCCTCCAGGATTCAAAATTAACAAGAAGTAGCCAAGTTGTTAGCCATCTGTGTTAACTTAAGAGGCCTTGAATGAAAGGGTACAATTAAGTAATATCAGAAATGAATACAGAAATGGGCAGAATCCATAAGAGTCCATTATCTCTCTATGAGATCACTTCCACTGCTTATAATATGCTGGTCTCATTCTTTTGAAGAAACATAAAATGACTTTTTTTCCTTTTCAAAGCCTCTTTCAGAGAGCAATATGAACTTACAATTGACATGTTTTCTCTCAGAAAGTGAATTCATTGAGATTGGGTTCAACCCTGGTAAGTTTTCATTTCTACCAACTAGACTGAAGCTACTACAATCCTCCCATTGACCCTTAAACTAAATGAACCCTATAATGGCTGCCAGGTAATGAAAAGAATCATGTTGGTATGTGTTGTGTTGTGTGGATAGGTACATGAATACTACAAATAAATAAATGTGTATGTGTGTGCATACACACCTGTGTGTGTGTGTGTGTATATGTATGTATGTATGCATATATGTATGTACCAATGGCTTCTGGGGCCAGGGTTGTACTTGTCTCTGTAGGCAAATTCTCGATGTGATTTAATGATTCTTCCCTGCCCTCCTAAATGTCTCTTTCCCCTACCAGCTTCATCATGCAGCTGTGTTGTAGTGACATTAACAGTCGAGTAATTGACTCAAATCCCAACACTACTTACTACCTTTGTAGCATCCTGTGTTAATTGAGGAAGTCACTTAATTTCTCTTGACCTTCAAATTCTTTACCCATCAAATGAGAGCTTTGAGCTCTGAGGTCTCATAATGCTCTAGATCTTATGTTCCTATGCCTGAAGTTTCTGAATGAGTTAGAGCATTCAAGGCATGGCAGAGGTGCAGAAAAGACGACATTTCCCGAAATAATAGATTCAAAATGAAAACACTCATTTGGGAGAACCATGATTTCCTTTTCCATGAGACCATGTTGTGGCCACAGAACAGGTTGTTTGATATATGAGTAATGGTGCTCTCTGTCAGGTTCATGACCATGTAGGGAAATGAAATGTGTCTAACAACTTATGAGTTCTTTAGCATCTTTGATAACTGGCAAAGCTAAGGACAATGAGACATCCCAGCTGTGGAAAATGTTACAGCTATGACAATGAGGAACAAGTAGCATCTAGGGTAAGTCAAGTCAGGAGCTATAATGGAGACATAGCAGGCAAACAACCAAATACAGCCTTGGCACTCCAGTGAAATCTTTGTCTTCAGCCCTGAGACCCAACCTGGCGCACAAGGAACCTTCTGAGACTTTCCCTACGCCATCCCTATCAAAGCCATAAATTTTGACAGCACTTAAGTTGCACATTACTCTGAAGGAAAAGGGGAATGAAACTCTACTTTCTCAGAGTGTGAATGAGATTTTTTTTTCTTTTTGCTTTACTATTCATTTCTGTACAGATTAAATGTTTTACTGTTTCAGTGCTGTTCCTTGTTAGCCAAGCAAGTAACTGAATACCTGGACCTGAGTTAGCTAAGTTCCCAGTTTTCTAATTGGATGAGGGAAAGGCAAGTCAAATAAGCAAAATAACCAGGGAACAAACAGTTCTCAAAAGAAAAATTGCACACTGTTTGGAATCATATGGAAGATTGCTTTGAGTCACTAATAATTAGAGAAATACAAATCAAAACAGCTCTTACCTCAAATCTAGAAAATTGGCAAAGATTACAAAAGATGTAAATAGCCAATGTGGAAGAGCTATGGAAAGACAATTGCACTAATATACAGTTTGTGAAATAGTGAATTGATCTAATCATACTAGAAAACAATTTGGAATTATTTTTAAAAAGTGACCAAGATGTCGTTACCTTTTGATTCAGAGTTTCCATTTCTGGCATAAAATCCGAGGAGGTCCCAGATAGAAAGAAGGGCTTAAATGCATCAAAATGTTCACAATCACAGTTTTTGTAGTAGCAAGGAACTGGAAACAGATGCTCATTGATTGTGGAAGTGCTAAACAAAAATGTGGCATATGAATATAATGGAATATTACCACACCAACAACAAATATGAAGAATTCAGAGAAGCTTGGGAATACTTACAAAGTAAGCAGAATCAAGAAAACGATACACACAATGGCTACAGCAATGTAAATAGAAGAAAATAAAAGAACAAA